TATATTTTTTTATATTAAACCAAACTAAATATGTGTTATGAATTTAAAACTACCAAATTGTTTTACTTACATTTGGAAGTTTTTAAGTGGTAAACATTTAGTAGGTTATTTTATGTATTTTTATACTTACAAATCATTAAAAATACAAAAGAAATTAAATAATCATGTAACAAATACCTTTTATCTATCATTTATATATGTAAAACCAAACTGAACTTGAGTACAAATTTATATTTATATTTATTGAGGTAATTTTCTATGTTTACTAATTTTCTAAAATCAAATATCCTAGTGGATTTTGTATAATATATTATGTGTTATACATCTTTTGGTATAATTTAAAAGTTTTTATTATCATATTAGATATATTCTATAATTATTTATATACATATATTATTAAAGGTGTATTTGATTATTGGCAAAAGAAAATATTGAAAATGTAAGAACATTAAAATAGAGCAAAGGGTGCCTTAAATTAATAGGACCAGGCTTTAATTGGGCTTTTCAAAACATTATGGTCCAATTGCTCAAGCACACTACTCTCTCTCTAAAACTCAGACTTATATTTTCTCTGCCTTCTCTCTACAACCTCTCCTCCTTCTCTCTTCAATCTCCTTTCACTAAGCTAGTAGATTTCGTTTTAGGTGGTGCTCAAACGTCCACGACGTAGAGGGCTTTAAAACCATCCGATCAGTTTTGGGTTCTAAGCTGGTAAGTCCCTCCATGCAACCTCCTCTTTATTCTTGAACGAAGACGTATATTCTTGTTGGTTGCATGTGTTTTCTTGCTTTCCCTTCTTCTGTTTCTACTCAATTCTAGCTCTAAGAGTTGTTTCCATCACCATTTCGGTGGTTGTAGGACATTGTTCGGGTTCTTGCTGTGAGAGGTACCGTTAGGGCATTTCAGTGAGCTGTGCGGTTTTACTCCAAGGTTAGGGGAGCTAGAATGTTTCTTTAATTGGTTGCATGAACTGTATGTTGAGTTTTGTACTGTTGCGTTTTTGATGTTGTGTTTGGACTTAGAAAGATTCAGTTGCATGTGTTAGGTTGAATGACTGTGAAATTGGATTTTAATGTATGTAAACTATTTTGAGATGTATGTAAATTCTATAATGTCTATGTTGATGTGTTTGGGCTGAGAGACATGTTGTAACAGTGAATGGATGGAAAATTTGGTATTCTGTAAGGGTTTTGGGTCACTTGAGAGGAAGTGAGGTAGTGATTTTGGGAAGTAGGGGTTCTGGGCACATTTGGACTGTTGGGACAGCTTAGGCAAGTCAATTGTGACTTGTTAGGATCATAAAACTGATTCAGAACAGGCTAAAAATGGTAGAATTAGAAGTGAGCCCCTAAGTTGAGGAAACTAGTCTTTTAAGAAGGAATTTGGGTCTTAATCACTGTAGGAACGAATAAAAATCAACTAGATAAGTTTAATCAGGTTTATATCAACCATTAGAGGCTTTAGAAGTTGGCCAAGAGGCCTAGAAATGGTAAGGGCTGGTGTGAGTGTGTGATTCTGTAGAACTTGCGTTCTACAGATGATGCAGAGTCGCTATGTGAACTGTCTCGCATAGCGAGACCCTGTAGAGGGTGCTCACTATCGGAGTCATTCGCTGTGCGAGCTGGTGCGTTGTGCGAATGACCAGAGGGTGTTGCTCTCTGTTTGTGGATTCGCCTGGCAAATCCTGTCGCTATGCGACTGGTGGTGGTCTGGAACCACTGCCCATTTAATTCGAAAGGCGAGTGGGGCACAAAGCGAGAGTTTTAGGGGGTGGTATTGGTAGTGTTCGGTCTTAGTGGGTGGTTTTGGTAGCGTTCGGACTTAGTGGGTGGTCTTAAGTAGCGTTCGGTCTTAGTGGGTGGTCTTGGTAGCGTTCGGTCTTAGTGGGTGGTCTTAAGTAGCGTTCGGTCTTAGTGGGTGGTCTTAAGTAGCGTTCAGTCTTAGTGGGTGGTCTTGGTAGCGTTCGGTCTTAGTGGGTGGTCTTGGTAGCATTCGATCTTATTAGCACTCGATCTCTTAAGTAGTGTTCGGTCGTAGTAACATTCGGTCGTAGTAGCATTCGGTCTCTCTTAGTGGTTGGTCCTAAATAGTGTTCGGCCACTTCTTTAGTCTTACCTTTTATGGACCGTTCGGTTTTGTCTTTGGGAAGAGAGATATCGTTCGGTCTCCACCATTCACAGGGTGTTTCGGTCTTCCTCATTATGTCTTGATGTTTTCTGTTTGGCCGATATTCCTATTTATTCCAGTATGATATTTTAATTAATTGTTCCAATTGCTTTAAGGGCTTATGTGTGCATTGTCATGTTGGTGTTAAAGTGAAAAGTATCAGTATTGGACGTAATTCCATGATCCTCAAGGGGGGATACATGGTGGTGCCCTTTCAGTGTGTTTAGAATGATTTACATGGAAGCTCAGTCTTGGGGGTTTTCTTGATGCTCCAATGGTCTTTCATTCTCAAGTAGATAGGATTGATCCATGTTGTGAGGAGTAGCAGGAGGTCCTAGTCTTGGGTGCTTTCAGTATGGCCCAAGGTGAGTGATAACAGACTAACCTCGTGAGTGTGGTAGGGTGAAACCCATTAGCAATGGCTTTGCAAAGAGTAGAGGCCACCATGAGTGCATAACCCGCCATAGCTCAGCAATCATTCTAAGTCCGGACGAGTCAAGTTTAAGTGCAACAAGTCATGTTTGTATAGTCTGATATATTTGTCTTTAATTGCATGGTGTGTGAATGCTATCACATGATTTTATATCTAGCTCAACCTTGCTTGTGTGTTTGTGTTTGCTTGGGTATGCTTTTCTTTTACAATGATCATCCACTTGGATGTGAGCAGAGATGGATGAGGTGCCTCTGGAACAGGCTTTGGAGGAAGACAATGTTGCTGCTTAGTTTCATTAGGACTTTAAGTGGTTCCTTATCTTTTAAAACACTCTAGTATGTTTAAGTTTTAAATCATGACACAATTTGGGATGACTGTAAACTTAACAACTTTAATTACAGTCTACTCTAATTGTTCTATTTTATTTAAATGTGGACTTACTATGTTATATGCTTCTATATAATCTGGGATGTCACAGAAAAGATATAGATAATGTGAGAACCTGAAAAATCTGAATTAGAAAGCTAATAGGGTATTAAGTTAATGAAACCAAAATTTCTTTCTTAAAAACACATTTTAGAACATCCTGGTTCATTAGCCAAGCCCTACTCCCTCTCTAGAACTAATTTCTCCCAAGTTCTCTACCTTCTCTCTACCAAATCTCTTCACTGAGCCGTTTGATTTCCGATCAGGTGGTGCCCCGCAATACCCGCGGCGTAGAGGGCTTCGTTTTAAACCGATGACTTTCTCCGTTCTTCATTCCAACCGGTAAGTAGTTTCCTTTCCTCCTCCTCCCCTGTTTTAGAACCTAGAACATGTAGTTCTACTGGTTGCATGTATCTTGTGTTCCCCCTTTTCCCACTCTTTGCTAAATCTTGAGCTCTAAGAGCCGTTTTCGTCACCAATGTGGTGGTTGTAGGGTGTTGTCTAGGTTCTTGCTGAGTCCGGCATTGTTGAGTCGTTCTTGTGAGCTAGGCTGCTCAACTATAAGGTAAGGGGAGCTAGAATACTTCTTTATTTTGTGATATGATATGAATGTATGTTGAAATCTGACTCTGTATGTTGCTTCAGAATATCATTTTGGTTTGATATGTATATGGTGTGGTTTGTGCTTAAATTGAATTCTATGAAGTTGTGCTGTGATGTTTATAACTGTTTTGAATTAATCTTGATGTTGTAATTTGAGCATGTTGGAAGTGCTTGGAGTGACAAATCTGTTATAGTTGAATTAAATGAAAAGTTAAGTGAAATTATAGTGTTTTAGGGCAAATTGGAGGAAGTGAAGTAGTGATTTTGGGCATTGGAGGTCTTGAGTGCAATTGGGATGTTTGGGTAGCTCAGATAAGTCAATTGTGACTTGTTAGGAACTTTAAATTGGCCAAAAACATGTTAAAAGTGGTATAACTAAAATTGGGCCTCTAAGTTGTTCAATTTGGTATTTTATAACAAGTATTGAGTCTTAAACCTTTTAGATTGATTGTAGGGATGTTTAAAATTAGTTAGATAAGTACAATCAGAGTTAAAACTCAAATTAGGGGTGTTAGAAGTTAGGGAATTGGACTAAAAATGGTAAGAGGATGTGTGAGTGCATAATTCTGCAGAACTTGCATTCTGTAGATTATGCAGTCTCTCTATGCGGATGGTTTCGCATAGCGAGACCCTGTAGAAGGGTGCTCACGGTTTAGTCATTCGTTGTGCCAAATGGTGCGCTGTGCGAATGAGTAGAAAGTATTGCCCTCTGCCTTGTGATTCGCATAGCGAATCTATTCGCTTTGCGACTGGAAGGAGTCTGGGGTTGCATTTTTTGGTTAATTCGCAGAGCGATGGGGGCGCATAGTGAGTTGTCTTAGGGGGTTGGTCTTTGTCTGAGCTCTTGCATAGCCACTAGGGTGTGTTATGCGAGAGGCATGAGGTGTGGCACCTCTGTGAGTTAATTCGCAATGCGAATAATGTGCACTGTGCGAAACACTCTTAGTTTCGTTGTGTGAAGGGGTGCGCTGTGCGAGACGTTCAGGGTTTTATTCTCTATCTTCTCTTTTTTGTTGTTTCACATAGAGTTGAATGTTGTATGGTTTGTGAAGTATGTGTCGAAGCATATTGTATTGTATGATGGGATTCAATCATGTTGTATATTGTTAAAGTGAAAGTGTATGTGATTCAAAGGTATGANTGGCAAAAGAAAATATTGAAAATGTAAGAACATTAAAATAGAGCAAAGGGTGCCTTAAATTAATAGGACCAGGCTTTAATTGGGCTTTTCAAAACATTATGGTCCAATTGCTCAAGCACACTACTCTCTCTCTAAAACTCAGACTTATATTTTCTCTGCCTTCTCTCTACAACCTCTCCTCCTTCTCTCTTCAATCTCCTTTCACTAAGCTAGTAGATTTCGTTTTAGGTGGTGCTCAAACGTCCACGACGTAGAGGGCTTTAAAACCATCCGATCAGTTTTGGGTTCTAAGCTGGTAAGTCCCTCCATGCAACCTCCTCTTTATTCTTGAACGAAGACGTATATTCTTGTTGGTTGCATGTGTTTTCTTGCTTTCCCTTCTTCTGTTTCTACTCAATTCTAGCTCTAAGAGTTGTTTCCATCACCATTTCGGTGGTTGTAGGACATTGTTCGGGTTCTTGCTGTGAGAGGTACCGTTAGGGCATTTCAGTGAGCTGTGCGGTTTTACTCCAAGGTTAGGGGAGCTAGAATGTTTCTTTAATTGGTTGCATGAACTGTATGTTGAGTTTTGTACTGTTGCGTTTTTGATGTTGTGTTTGGACTTAGAAAGATTCAGTTGCATGTGTTAGGTTGAATGACTGTGAAATTGGATTTTAATGTATGTAAACTATTTTGAGATGTATGTAAATTCTATAATGTCTATGTTGATGTGTTTGGGCTGAGAGACATGTTGTAACAGTGAATGGATGGAAAATTTGGTATTCTGTAAGGGTTTTGGGTCACTTGAGAGGAAGTGAGGTAGTGATTTTGGGAAGTAGGGGTTCTGGGCACATTTGGACTGTTGGGACAGCTTAGGCAAGTCAATTGTGACTTGTTAGGATCATAAAACTGATTCAGAACAGGCTAAAAATGGTAGAATTAGAAGTGAGCCCCTAAGTTGAGGAAACTAGTCTTTTAAGAAGGAATTTGGGTCTTAATCACTGTAGGAACGAATAAAAATCAACTAGATAAGTTTAATCAGGTTTATATCAACCATTAGAGGCTTTAGAAGTTGGCCAAGAGGCCTAGAAATGGTAAGGGCTGGTGTGAGTGTGTGATTCTGTAGAACTTGCGTTCTACAGATGATGCAGAGTCGCTATGTGAACTGTCTCGCATAGCGAGACCCTGTAGAGGGTGCTCACTATCGGAGTCATTCGCTGTGCGAGCTGGTGCGTTGTGCGAATGACCAGAGGGTGTTGCTCTCTGTTTGTGGATTCGCCTGGCAAATCCTGTCGCTATGCGACTGGTGGTGGTCTGGAACCACTGCCCATTTAATTCGAAAGGCGAGTGGGGCACAAAGCGAGAGTTTTAGGGGGTGGTATTGGTAGTGTTCGGTCTTAGTGGGTGGTTTTGGTAGCGTTCGGACTTAGTGGGTGGTCTTAAGTAGCGTTCGGTCTTAGTGGGTGGTCTTGGTAGCGTTCGGTCTTAGTGGGTGGTCTTAAGTAGCGTTCGGTCTTAGTGGGTGGTCTTAAGTAGCGTTCAGTCTTAGTGGGTGGTCTTGGTAGCGTTCGGTCTTAGTGGGTGGTCTTGGTAGCATTCGATCTTATTAGCACTCGATCTCTTAAGTAGTGTTCGGTCGTAGTAACATTCGGTCGTAGTAGCATTCGGTCTCTCTTAGTGGTTGGTCCTAAATAGTGTTCGGCCACTTCTTTAGTCTTACCTTTTATGGACCGTTCGGTTTTGTCTTTGGGAAGAGAGATATCGTTCGGTCTCCACCATTCACAGGGTGTTTCGGTCTTCCTCATTATGTCTTGATGTTTTCTGTTTGGCCGATATTCCTATTTATTCCAGTATGATATTTTAATTAATTGTTCCAATTGCTTTAAGGGCTTATGTGTGCATTGTCATGTTGGTGTTAAAGTGAAAAGTATCAGTATTGGACGTAATTCCATGATCCTCAAGGGGGGATACATGGTGGTGCCCTTTCAGTGTGTTTAGAATGATTTACATGGAAGCTCAGTCTTGGGGGTTTTCTTGATGCTCCAATGGTCTTTCATTCTCAAGTAGATAGGATTGATCCATGTTGTGAGGAGTAGCAGGAGGTCCTAGTCTTGGGTGCTTTCAGTATGGCCCAAGGTGAGTGATAACAGACTAACCTCGTGAGTGTGGTAGGGTGAAACCCATTAGCAATGGCTTTGCAAAGAGTAGAGGCCACCATGAGTGCATAACCCGCCATAGCTCAGCAATCATTCTAAGTCCGGACGAGTCAAGTTTAAGTGCAACAAGTCATGTTTGTATAGTCTGATATATTTGTCTTTAATTGCATGGTGTGTGAATGCTATCACATGATTTTATATCTAGCTCAACCTTGCTTGTGTGTTTGTGTTTGCTTGGGTATGCTTTTCTTTTACAATGATCATCCACTTGGATGTGAGCAGAGATGGATGAGGTGCCTCTGGAACAGGCTTTGGAGGAAGACAATGTTGCTGCTTAGTTTCATTAGGACTTTAAGTGGTTCCTTATCTTTTAAAACACTCTAGTATGTTTAAGTTTTAAATCATGACACAATTTGGGATGACTGTAAACTTAACAACTTTAATTACAGTCTACTCTAATTGTTCTATTTTATTTAAATGTGGACTTACTATGTTATATGCTTCTATATAATCTGGGATGTCACAGAAAAGATATAGATAATGTGAGAACCTGAAAAATCTGAATTAGAAAGCTAATAGGGTATTAAGTTAATGAAACCAAAATTTCTTTCTTAAAAACACATTTTAGAACATCCTGGTTCATTAGCCAAGCCCTACTCCCTCTCTAGAACTAATTTCTCCCAAGTTCTCTACCTTCTCTCTACCAAATCTCTTCACTGAGCCGTTTGATTTCCGATCAGGTGGTGCCCCGCAATACCCGCGGCGTAGAGGGCTTCGTTTTAAACCGATGACTTTCTCCGTTCTTCATTCCAACCGGTAAGTAGTTTCCTTTCCTCCTCCTCCCCTGTTTTAGAACCTAGAACATGTAGTTCTACTGGTTGCATGTATCTTGTGTTCCCCCTTTTCCCACTCTTTGCTAAATCTTGAGCTCTAAGAGCCGTTTTCGTCACCAATGTGGTGGTTGTAGGGTGTTGTCTAGGTTCTTGCTGAGTCCGGCATTGTTGAGTCGTTCTTGTGAGCTAGGCTGCTCAACTATAAGGTAAGGGGAGCTAGAATACTTCTTTATTTTGTGATATGATATGAATGTATGTTGAAATCTGACTCTGTATGTTGCTTCAGAATATCATTTTGGTTTGATATGTATATGGTGTGGTTTGTGCTTAAATTGAATTCTATGAAGTTGTGCTGTGATGTTTATAACTGTTTTGAATTAATCTTGATGTTGTAATTTGAGCATGTTGGAAGTGCTTGGAGTGACAAATCTGTTATAGTTGAATTAAATGAAAAGTTAAGTGAAATTATAGTGTTTTAGGGCAAATTGGAGGAAGTGAAGTAGTGATTTTGGGCATTGGAGGTCTTGAGTGCAATTGGGATGTTTGGGTAGCTCAGATAAGTCAATTGTGACTTGTTAGGAACTTTAAATTGGCCAAAAACATGTTAAAAGTGGTATAACTAAAATTGGGCCTCTAAGTTGTTCAATTTGGTATTTTATAACAAGTATTGAGTCTTAAACCTTTTAGATTGATTGTAGGGATGTTTAAAATTAGTTAGATAAGTACAATCAGAGTTAAAACTCAAATTAGGGGTGTTAGAAGTTAGGGAATTGGACTAAAAATGGTAAGAGGATGTGTGAGTGCATAATTCTGCAGAACTTGCATTCTGTAGATTATGCAGTCTCTCTATGCGGATGGTTTCGCATAGCGAGACCCTGTAGAAGGGTGCTCACGGTTTAGTCATTCGTTGTGCCAAATGGTGCGCTGTGCGAATGAGTAGAAAGTATTGCCCTCTGCCTTGTGATTCGCATAGCGAATCTATTCGCTGTGCGACTGGAAGGAGTCTGGGGTTGCATTTTTTGGTTAATTCGCAGAGCGATGGGGGCGCATAGTGAGTTGTCTTAGGGGGTTGGTCTTTGTCTGAGCTCTTGCATAGCCACTAGGGTGTGTTATGCGAGAGGCATGAGGTGTGGCACCTCTGTGAGTTAATTCGCAATGCGAATAATGTGCACTGTGCGAAACACTCTTAGTTTCGTTGTGTGAAGGGGTGCGCTGTGCGAGACGTTCAGGGTTTTATTCTCTATCTTCTCTTTTTTGTTGTTTCACATAGAGTTGAATGTTGTATGGTTTGTGAAGTATGTGTCGAAGCATATTGTATTGTATGATGGGATTCAATCATGTTGTATATTGTTAAAGTGAAAGTGTATGTGATTCAAAGGTATGAATGGTGATTCAAAGTGATTGAAAGTATGTGGTTTTACAAGTATGGTTGATGGACGTAATTCCACGGATCTCAAAGTGAGGTTACATGGTGGTGCCCTATGTTATTGGACGTAATTCCATGGATCTCAAAGTGAGATTATATGGTGGTGTCCTATGTTATTGGACGTAATTCCATGGATCTCAAAGGGAGGTTACATGGTGGTGCCCTATGTTATTGGACGTAATTCCATGATCTTCAAGGAGAAGATTTATGGTGGTGCCCTTAGTGTTTAGAATGATTTGCATGGTAGCTCAGTCTTGGGGGGTTTTCTGATGCTCCAATGGTCTTTCATTCTCAAGTAGAGAGGATTTATCCATGTGGTGAGGAGTAGCAGGAGGTCCTAGTCTTGGGTGCTTCCAGTATGGCCCAATGTGAGTGATAACAGACTAACCTCGTGAGTGTGGTAGGGTGAAACCCATTGGCAATGGCTTTGCAAAGCAGTAGAAGCCACCACGAGTGCATAACCCGCCATAGCTCGGCAATCATTCTAAGTCTGGACGAGTCAAGTTTAAAGTGTAACAAGTTGTGTTAAGTGACCTAGTATATATGAATTAAACTTGCATGTTGGGTGTGATTGTTATAACATGATTTTTGTATATCTAGCTCATCCTTATGCTTGTGTTTGTGTGTGTTTCTGTTGCAATAATCATCCATTTGGTTGTGAGCAGAGGTAGATGAGGTGCTTCTGGAGCAGGCCTTAGAGGGAGATGATGTTGCAGCTTAGTCTAGTTAGGACTCTTAGTTGTTCCCTATCATTTTGAAATACTCTAATGTGTTTAAGTTTTAAACTATGATTTCTGTTTTTGGATGACTGTAACCTTAATACTTTATTTACAGTCTTATTCTAACTCTTCGAGGGAGATGATGCTGCAACTTAGTCTAGTTAGGACTCTTAGTTGTTCCCTATCATTTTGAAATACTCTAATGTGTTTAAGTTTTAAACTATGACTTCTGTTTTAGGATGACTGTAACCTTAATACTTTATTTACAATCTTATTCTAATTGTTCTCTTATATTAAAAATGTGGACTGCTATATTATATATTTATGTATAATCTGGGATGTTACAAATATTGTTTATTATATATTTAATTAATTATATATTAAGAAATACTTAATATTTACTTTTACAACATAACATATATTACATTGATTATTTTTTGGAATTTTTCATTAAAACGAAGAGTTGTGATAAAAGCTCGACAGGTAGATATGTAAGAATGATAATAACAATTAAACTCTTCGTGTCTTTAAAAAATATAAACAATATTAAAGTAGGTAACACTATTGAACAACATGAGAGACTATAAAATTTAAATTAGATTAAAGTATATTTTGATAGCAAGACAAATGTTGTAAAAACAAATGAGGGTTGAATTATATATTGAAAATTTGCACAATATCAACACATGATGAAATATGGTGACACAATATTTTAGCTTACACTATTAAATAAACATTTGAACTTACATATTACATTTCGGTTTCAAAAACACATAAGCATATCAAAATGCGGTGACAATTTCGTAGTTTTGGTGATACTATATACTTCGATTTAGTGGGAATCGATGTCTAAGGTGTATACTGCCTTGGTTCATTGAGCAACCGAGGTATAAAATCTTGTTGTCCATTCTACAAATCATACTTTTCACCTGATAACTTTTTCGAAATAGGACTATTGTCTCGGTTCTCTGACCAACCGAGGAAAAAGGCCCTGCCAAATCCCTTTTCATGCACTGACACTCACTGACAATTATTTGAAAACGACATACTGCTTTAGTTTTGCGCATAACCGAGGCAGTGTGTCTTGCTAGCAGTTGACAACCTCTAGTTCTGAACATTCCAAATTCATTTTGTCAACCAATACTGCCTCGGTTCTCTTTGAACGGATTCCATAGGTGGTTTATTTTTCGGTTCTCTTTGCACCAATGCCATACGCGCTTTATGCCTCGGTTTAACCGTGAACCGATGCCTATTGTTAAAAGATATTTTCAAATTTGCCATTTAGAATTTTATTTTGAATTTTTTCTGAAAGATTTACTTATCGGTTTTATTTATAATCAAGGCAGTAAGGGTGTTATTGCCTAGGTTTTCAACTTAACCGAGCTAATAGCCTCTTTGATATTTAAATTTCACAAACGTAAAACAGTAATCACTCTTTGCACTGTTCTTCTTCCCCCACGCGAACGCGAACTGTGTTTCCCATCTCGCACGAGTTTCTTCTTTTCGTTGCCTCTCTTCGCCGCTACATCATTGGTCGTTTTCTTCTCGGCCCTTCTTCATTGTCGTCGTCACCTGTTGTTGTTCGACTGTCCCCACCACTAGCTGCCGTCGTCTCGACCCTTTTTCATCGTCGCCGCCAGCTGTTGTCCGCCCCGCCACCATTCATCCCTTCTCTTGGCGTCGTTCTTCTTCTTTGCGTGGTAAGTTTTTGAGACCTCCTCCATTTTTGTCTTTGTGTTTGATAGTAAATTGGGTCGAATTTAAGTATATGTATTTTGATAGAAATATCAATGATACATTTTGAGTATATGTATTTTGAATTAGGTTGTGTATAAATTTGAATAAAATGTGTTTGTATTAAATTGCTTGATAATAATATAATTTTGAATTAGGGATATAAACGTTAGGGGAATATAATCTTGAATTGTTTGTATTAAATTGGTTTATAATGTAAATTGATGTATAATTTTGAATTAGGGATATAAAAATTATGGGAACATAATTTTGAATTGTTTGTATGGAATTGGTTGATAATGTAATTGGTGTATAATTTTGAATTAGGGATAAAGAAATTAAGGAAACATAATTTTAAATTGTTTGTATTGAATTGGTTGATAATGTAAATTGATGTATAATTTTGAATTAGGGATATAGAAATTAGGGAATATAATTTTGAATTGTTTGTATTAAATTGGTTGATTTGGTGATGAAATAAATTTTAAGGTTAAGAATCATGAGATTAATTAATGTGTCGTTTGTTTTTGTCCCGATATTTTATTTTTGTGGCGATGTTTTATATCTTCTTAAACGTGGACATTCTTCATTGTTGACCAACTTTCACGCTCCTAGGTTCCTATTCTTAAAATTTTCCTTTTAATATGAACATGTAATTATTTGTTTGGTTGACTATATTGTTTTCTTGAATATATTGTATGTTGCATATGTAATTATTTGTTTTCTTGAATATTTTATTGTTGTGAATTAGCCATAGTTTCCCGTTTGAGATTCAATACAAAAGTTATTTACTATCTCCACATATTTTTAACAAATGTACTTTTTACAAATGAATAGAGAGGAGATGGTAATAATAATTTACAGGTATTGAAACAAGGTCTAAAGCACAAGGTATAAGTGCTCAAAATAAAATTACACACTTATTATCTCATGGTGGGTACAAGAAGCTTGAAGAGATAATAATGAAGCAAAAGTTAGACAATAGGCCCTCACTTTTTGAGGGTGGTAGTCCTCATCCTCCTTCATCATCATCTTGGCATGAAAAGTGGAAGTTAGCCCGTTTACGGTCATCTGGCTCCTACACTTCTCACAGTGCTAGAGAAATATTAAAAAGAATTGTAAGATATCAGTTCTCTTATGAAGAAAGGCTGACGCGGGAGATCACAAAGAAGGTCAAGACGGAGTTGTATGATGAAGTCGCTTCAAAAGTGATTGAAAGGGTTATGCGTCAATTTCAACAGCAGTTTGAGAGTTATGGCATGCGTCCGCAGCCATCTCCTGTAGCGGAACATGTTGTGCTTCCCACAGGTAAAATTAATAATCATTTTTGTTTAATAATTTACTTATTGTATAATCTAACATTTAATTTGACAAGCAACGGAAGTTGTTTAGCTCCAAGCGTCCCAGGGGATGACATGGATGAGACTCGTCCATGTCAACTATATGTTGTACATGGTACCAGGACCATGATAGTGGCTCGTGGCACAGTCTTTGAAGCAGTCACTGTAGTTCATGGTATGGAGCTAGTAGAAGATGAGGTGAAGGTCATGGTACTCGAAATTGTCGTACCAGATGCGATAATTCATGTAGATGAGATTGTCACTAAGGCATAGACATTTCAGTCTTTCGTCACCTGGCCTAGATATTTGGTTGGTTATATTTCTGACCCCTTAGTATGAACTCCTATATAATATACTTCTCAATTTTAGACTTTATTACTTATTGACGTCAGAATATAACTATTTTTTCATGTAACAGCATATGGGTCGAGAGGAAAGTCCTACATCGAAGAAGATTCATTCATCTGAGGACGACCTCTTGGTGCATTACATGAGCTTTCTAACATCATTGCAGATGTGCCAATGACTGTTCCATGGGATTGTACTGTATTTGGAAGAGACTCTAAGATCCCATTGTACTTGCATAAGCAAGATGCTGAGGAGGTTGCATCGAGGAAAGAAGAGCTTAATATTATCCTCGTTTAGTTGTGGATGATGTAAGTCTATGAGCACTTATTTATATGAAATTGATTTATCAAGTTACTTATATCAAATCATTTCCTGATTTCAGGTATATGTTTGGTGTAACTAACAAGATGGAGTTCAATGATGTATATGGGTTCATTGACCCCAAATGACTCGCGAAGGAAATAAATTTGATGACATCTAAACATATATCACCAATTTTTTGTAGTGGGGAAGCAACTATATGTTGTCTCTTATATAGCTGGGTAGGTGAAGGTTGTTAACTTTAAAGTTTCATTTGTGATTTTAATTTATAAAACTTAAGTTATTACATATTTCAGGCATCATTGGCAGCTACTTGTGGTTTCTATACCGGTGAACACTGATGTGTGGTTTTGCTCATTTCACAAGTTCCCTCCCAAACATCTCAAACAAGTAGTAGATTGGTAAGAATCTCAATGTTTAGACTTTCTTTGTTTTATAAATGTATGCTAAAGCCACTTTTTTAATACTTCCATTGCAGCACATATGATGTTGTTCGGGAGATCAACTACTAATACTAAAAAGCTTGCATGGTTGGCCCTTAAGGTTTGGTGTTTGATTCCAATAATTTCTTATAATAATTTTATTCCAATGATGTTTCCTTTAACATTTTATAATTATGATGATATATTGTAGTGTAATATACAAAACGAGTCATATGAGTGTGGTTACTACATAATGTATTGAATGATGACTATTATTCGTGTCTATATTAAAAGTGGATAGAAAACGGTAATATTTGGTTTTATTGAATTTTTTTCTCTATATTTTAGAATTCATATACACTAATTCAATTCATTGTGTCTTGTGCAGAGATTCAATTCTATTGTTACAATTCCTGAGAAGTCACTTAAATACATAAGGAAAGCACTTGCAAAATATGTAATTCAACTCTATAATAACATATAGATATTAGGATATATGTACACTTTGATTTATGATTCTAAGTTGATTTATAGTTAGAATTCTATGTACATTGAATTGATTTATTATAATTTGCATTGAAAACAAGATTTTGGATTGTATTTGGACAATTTCTGTATATGCAGGTTTGTTTCTGTATAGAGGTTGTTACAAAAATAGACTGGCCTTTTAAAAAAATTCGTAGAATAGGCATCGGTTTTGACCACAACCGAGATAGTATCTCCCCTATGGCATCGGTTCTAGCCATAACGAGGCAAAAAGTTTGACAAAAAAAACAAAAAACACCTCTACTGTCGCGGTTCAACCCCCAATCGAGGAAATAGACCCCCACATACTGCTTTAGTTCCATTGAACAGAGGCAATAGACCTCACAATAAAAATATTAAAAAACGTTATATGAATACCCTCTACCGCCTCGGTTCAAAAGCAACTGAGGCAAAAGGCTACCCCTTTTTGCCTCGGTTCAGAATCGAGGAAAAAAGCCTACCCCTTTTTGCCTCACTTGTATATATTTTGGTTCGTGAACCACTTCGTATAGGTGAAAATAAATGTTTTCGTTTTCCTTTAC